CAAAGGATCTGGTGCGGACTGAGCCTCCTCTGGCTCTGAGTCCGAGCCCGAGTCCCAGGCTATCACACCTTCCCACTATCACACTCTTTGATTCTGATATGCATCCAAAGAAATCCTGGAGGCTTCTGGACTAACTGGGTAAACGGAAGACTGCTGGCAATCCTGCCACTATAATATCACAATATATTAACTAGCAAACTCTTCTGGGAGGATTATGAATCCTAGCAGGCCAATCCAGCACTGCTGGCTATGGAAGATGAGCTCAGGTCATTCTGTTGCTAGCCAATGGCGCTCACAGTATTCATTCACTTGATGGCAGCCAACTGTGATGGCAGCTACAGAAGTTCGATGCTTTTGCAAATTCCTGTGCCAAGGTAGCATCTGATCTTTTAAAAAAATTGAACTAGTCAGCAGAGTAAGGAACGGAAAGCCTTCACTGCCATGGTGAGAAAGCAGCCAGATGAGATGATGGAGATGGAGGGGGAGACAGGAGGAGACAGGCCTACCCAACTCAAGAGGCAGCATGTCTTGGGGTGGCCTGGGAAGAGATGTAGGAGTCATCAAAACTCACATCTGTGTGCTTTTTTTTGGAGAGTTATTCCTAAAAACCCAAAAGCAACAATGATTTATTTCAAATATCTTTATTGTGGTCCATAGACCCACGAAACAGTTTCAAAACAATATAATAATAATAATAATAATAATAATAATAATAATAATTTATACCCCGCCCATCTGGCTGGGTTTCCCCAGCCACTCTGGGTGGCTTCCAACAAAACACTCAAATATAATAACCTATTAAACATTAAAAGCTTCCCTGAACAGGGCTGCCTTCAGATGTCTTCTAAAGGTTTGGTAGTTATTTTTCTCTTTGACATCTGATGGGAGGGCGTTCCACAGGGTGGGTGCCACTACTGAGAAGGCCCTCTGCCTGGTTCCCTGTAGCTTTGCTTCTCGCAGTGTCCGGGCAGATACAGTTAAAACAACCAAACAACAGGCGAAAGAGACCGGGTAGTCATTTTGTTATGTCTAGAGCATGATGGTCTTTGTTTCTTGCAACCTCCGAAAGAAACTTTGCAACGGTCAGTGTAATATCATTTGACCTATCCTCCAGAAGGTATTTAATATGGGAGGCTTCAGATGTTCCTGGCAGATTTGCTGGTAAGGGATTGATCAGTTGATCCCTTGCTTTCTTGTACTTCCCACAATGCAGTAGGATATGCTTCATGCAATGGATGTCCTGGGAACATAAACAAAGCCTATTCTGATAAGGGATGCCTCTCAGTCTACCATTTAGAACTTCCAATGGAAATACATTTAGTCTGTTGTTTAGTCGTTTAGTCGTGTCCGACTCTTCGTGACCCCATGGACCAGAGCACGCCAGGCACTCTTGTCTCCCACTGCGTCCCACAGTTTGGTCAGACTCATGTTTGTGGCTTCGAAAACACTGTCCAACCATCTCGTCCTCTTTCGTCCCCTTCTCCTTGTGCCCTCCATCTTTCCCAACACCAGCGTCTTTTCCAGGGAGTCTTCTCTTCTCATGAGGTGGTCAAAGTATTGGCGCCTCAGCTTCACGATCTGTCCTTCCAGTGAGCACTCAGGGCTGATTTCCTTAATCTAGCTTTGGTAAATAAACACCCATAGGTGGGTACGGACAAATTCCTAAGATATGAGGCTAACTGAAATTTGTGCCCATATTGGATTACAATTTTTATTATTATTATTATTTATTTATTTATTTATTTATTTATTTATACATACATACATACATACATACATACATACCCCGCCTTTTCCCCTGACAGGGACTCAAGGCAGCTTACAGATAAAATAAGAACTGCGATGCTTTTGTCCTGCATTCCCTGTGGGATTTCTTGCCTTTTCTCTTTCGCAACAGTCTCTCCTTCACAGCTGCCTGTCTCTTTAAATTCCTCTGCTCACAGACTTATTAGTCAGGGAGAAGACTCCTTAATGTCATCGCCCTCAGAAGAGCATTAGGCAGGGACAGTTACTGTTTAGAAGAAGAAAATAAGGAGAGTACCGTTTTAAAGGCGGGGTGGGGGGCAGTAGCATTCAACGCACTCTATCAAAACTAGCAGGGAAGCCTTCTAAAAATAGCATGCTTCACTCCAGAGCTAGGCAGGATGTCAGAAATCACCTTCTGTGTCATCATTTATGTGCACAATACTAATAATATTGTGGTTTTAATTCTGGGGGTGATAAAGCAAACAAAGCGCAAAGGCGGTTTGAGAATCCCAATACTTCTCACTACTTAAAAAGTCCTTTATGTCCTCAAGGCGGCTGTGAACATTAACTAATTACAGCGGGGAGAGGGGTAAAATATGCTGACTTTGGCTGCAATGTTATCTGGACTGCAGACTCCATAAAACAAAACAAAAAAGCACTCGGTTCTGGCAGGAGCTCAGAAACAGCCGTGTTCTGGAACGAGATGATATTCAGCCTGCAGTTAAGAGACACACGTTGAAAAGGGGCAAGTTATACAAAAAGTGACTTTTTTATTAAACAAAGAAGCTACGGAAAAGACACAGTCTGATTATGGGGCTGATTGAAACCCACTTACTCCCTGCTCAAAATATGCTCTGCCAAGTCTGACCATGGCTGGTGGGTGAATGCCTTCAGCTCAGACAGTTCCTTCCCTAATAACATATGGTGTAGCCTTATGAGGCTTTGCCCTCGGGTGGGGAAAATATTGCGCCTGGGAAAGGGAAGTGGGAGTCAACAGACACTCAAGGAATAGTTTTGGAGAAAAAGCTTTTATTTCTACCATCCATGAACTTGTAGAAGGAGCAACTCACAAAAGCATGCACGAGTTCACAGTCATGTGCACAGAGTATATATTCCCCTTCTAGTTCCCTCCCCTTTCTCCTCCCTCAGGAGTCCTGCCCCATGAGTTCCTGAGCATGTACAGAAAGCTCCTGTCTTGGGACTCGAGTCTATTCATTAGCTTTTTGAAGCCTTCTCGTGCTGATAAAAGCAACGGTTTGTCCTTGCACAGCATCTTGTGAGAAAACAGAGGAAAGCTTTAGCTGTGGATTTTTAGAAGACAAAAGGAATTTTGGACAGTTTGAGGCCTGGTTGGGGGGGGTGACTTCGGGCCTAGGTGGGGCACCTGTCCTCACCTTCCTTCAATGGGAGCCCCCAAAGTGCTCAAAGGTGCAAAAGAAGGAATGGTGCCTAAATCTTCCATCCTGCCATTTGAACTAATTGCCTTAAACTGCCAAGAGCTACAAAACTTGACCACACGAAGCATCACTGCTCCCTCTACCCTTTCTCTTTAGTGATGTGTTGTACCCATCCCACATCCTTCAGTGCAAAAAAACCAGTCTTTTCCCTTTTCTTGCGAGGAATCCTATTCAGAATAAGGGAATTTCCCTTTAAAAAAAGGGAAACGTTGACAGCTATGACCCCACCCCTTCAGGATCTCACCAGGAGCTAGTCACCTCAGCTGAAGTGAGCATGAACAACAACTCAATCGTTTTTGTTTTTTAGAATGAAAAGCAGCTATGGGAGGCTGCAAGTTTAAGCAAAGGGCAGCTTAACACCCTCCTCACAGCCTTGTTCTGCTCAAATAATCTTCCTCTGCTGCTTCTCTACAGGGTGGTGGGATGCATGTAGCCGTATTTGCCTCCGGTTGATGGAAAAGAAACCTGGCTACGATTTTTGGCTGCAAGAGAAAGGGTGAAGCAGTCCCCTCCCCATTCCATTTCTGCACTCAGACTGGGAGCTTCTTGCAGCTGGTTTTCATGGGGAAACACCATCAGAACACAGTTAAAGGCATTTGGGCTTTATACGTCCCACGAATGCCTGAGGGCAAGGAAGAAACCAAAATGGTACCAAACCTTATCTCAGGTAATGCTCTCCTCACCCTTTAGAAGCCCATCAGATGCACTAGAAGAGGGCCACCTGCAACCATTTTGGAAGATTTACGCCAACCTGCTCATGATAACGACCCACATTTTCCCTGTTCCAAACAGCGTATTCTACCTTGATAAAGGTAAAGGGACCCTTGACCATTAGGTCCAGTCGCGGATGATTCTGGGGTTGTGGTGCTCATCTCGCTTTATTGCCCGAGGGAGCTGGCGTACAGCTTCCGGGTCATGTGGCCAGCATGACTAAGCCGCTTCTGGTGAACCAGAGCAGCGCACGGAAACACCGTTTACCTTCCCGCCAGAGCGGTACCTATTTATCTACTTGCACTTTGAGGTGCTTTAGAACTGCTAGGTTGGCAGGAGCAGGGACCGAGCAACGGGAGCTCACCCCGTCACGGGGATTCAAACCGCCGACCTTCTGATCGGCAAGCCCTAGGCTCTGTGGTTTAACCCACAGCGCCACCCGTGTCCCTATTCTACCTTGAAACACAAGGCAATTGTTCTGTGGCAGGAAATTACTAGAGAGGTCTCTCATAGGGACATGTTTCTAGTTATAACAAAGTTGAGGGGAGGATGCGCAAATCAAGGCAGGCCTTGCAGTTCAGCTTGCAGAAATTTGTTAGTTGTTCAGTTCTATTTGACAGAACACAAGTCAAATAACGGGGTAGCCAAGCATTTTGAAACTTCCCAGTTCATAATGTCAATCCTGCCCATATATATATATATAGGTTTACATTAGTAGCAGTCCCCTCCAAAGTGGTCCCTGATAGCTTAAGGCCTATTGTGAGTACTTACAGAATAAACTGATTTCCTAGCATCTAGCCCAATTGGGTGGGTGTGGATCATTTGAAAGAGCTAGAAATTTGTCTGTATTTCCCCATGTTAGCTTCTTACAATAACTGCTACCATTCCAAGGGTATAATGCAGTTGTAATGGGAGGGGAATTGACCTAATTATAGCAGTATGTTCCCCGTGGAACAACTTGTTCTAAGGTAGGCACTGTTCTAAACAAAGCTTAAATAAATGGCATGGATTTCTGCCAGGCAGGTAGCAACGACAGCAAACATACAACACATTTCCGGGATTTTAAAAATAAAACATAAAACCAACTACACAATACCAACTTTGATCTTTATTTTATTCAAAGAAAAATGATTTTTCTTCCAGATTTTGTGAAAGAAATGAACAAGAACAGTAAACTATTACAAGTAAAGGGGAAATAATAACCTTTGATTCTGCATATGCTTGCTTGCTTATCAGTGAGACAAATGTATGACTTGAAGCAAACCAACTTTTCATATAAAATGTGAAGTTCAGCTTACCCTACGAATCAGGTACTTTTAAATATCCAGCCTATCTTTTATCAATTAGCGTTCAAAAGTTAGCAATCATATTACAGTCTGGAACAATTAGTTGTTTAGACGGTCCTGTTTATTGGAGCAGTGGAAAAAAGGACTCCTAATGATCCCATGAAGTTGCTTTTAATTAAGTGTGAAATTGAAGATCCTGAAAGTAAGGTTTTATCCTTCTTCTCTGTCTATAGGTGATTGCAGTAAAAGACTGAATTTGGCAACCCCAGTAATCTTTAGGAAGTACCCCATTGAGCACATGTTGAAATATGGGAAACTAAACAAGTTTCACAGCCTGGGACCCTCAACCCAAAATATATTTCGCTATCTTCATTTAAAAGTTTGGTACCAAAGTACCTGAGTTGGAAATGCTAAACATCTACATATATGTGCACAGATGGGTTCTCTTGCAATAAACAGAAATCCCAAGCAGGAAAGAATTGAGCTCCAACTCCTGTGCTCAGTACAGTGAAATTTAGCTACAACTGGCAATACTGCTAATGTACTTTGTTCCGAGAAATCTTTTGCACCAAAATTCAGAATAAAGGTTTAACCTACCCACACACACACACAAAAAAAAGTCTTAACACTTTTAATAGTGAACACAAGAGGCAAATTTGGACAAAAGAAATGAAAGGGGGGTAATAAAACAAGGAAGGTTAGTAGTACATTAAAACATCACTGGAGAGGAAGAGGGAACCTTTATTGTAAATGTTGGAGGAAGCAGGGATTTCTCAACTCTCATAAAGAACATTTGTTTTTCAACATGATTGGGGGTGCTGGGGTGGGGAGCTGGTTGTATCCAGAGATCTGCAGTAATTGCATATTAAATCTGCCCGAAAGATCTCTTGCTGCAACTCTGATAGCACAGCATGAGAATCATGACATTACTGCAACAAATATGGACTTTCACCTCTCTGGATCCGCCATCTACTGCACTTATTTTGGAAGTGTACCAGTATTTCTATTATCCCTGCAGGTTTTATTTTGCTCCCACATTTGTCTCGGTGGCAAGTGACCTCAAACATTCAAGGTTCTCTCTGCAGACTTGAGTACAAAGAGATCACCAGACAAGATTTTGCTACCGTAGCCTCTTCCCAACTAAATGACACATAGCATAGGGGAACGTTTACTGTCAAGACAGTGAAATCTGGAAAGCCATTACGGCCAGGGTGGGTCTTGGAACTAGTGGCAGTGCTTCGGGGAAGTAAGTTTTTCACGCATCATAATTCCGCCCAAACTTCCTAGGGATTCCTCTTAAAACCTTGATTCTGACATTTAACACAATTTCTCAGGAAGCGGTGATAAAATATTTATCACACACACGTTTCCTTAGCAGCTTCCCTCCCCGTTTCAAAAACGTTGCTCATTTAATTTTTATGGCCAATATACAAAGGGAAGCTTTCGCATGCCCACTAGGACTCCTGAGCCAGCTGTCCTCCATTTTCATCTCACAGCACTCGCTCCAAGGCCTCTAAAAGCTGCTGCCAGCGGAAAGACCTGCAGTCTCATGATACATTGCCTGATCTTCTGTGACTCAGGTCCAGAGATGAAGGGCCTGGCAGAACTGGCATTGGGTTGGGTTGGGAAAGGGAACGGCACCTGGGAAGGGAAGGGAAGTGTCTGGTGGACGAGCCAGGTGGACCTGTGACAGGTGTGGGATGGGGAGAGTGATGTCATAAGCCAAGAAGAAAACAGCTTGCGTTTTTTATCCAGAGCTTTCAACCTGAGATTTTTCTCTTCCCTAAGGAGCTGCGTAAAACTTTCACATCTTGAAACCTGAAACCTGACAGTCCTCATCAGAACTTGAACTGAAATCTGGGCTCACCTTTAGAACTGAAAATAGATATATTCAAGAGAAAATGCTTAGCCAGCATGTCTTTGGATTCTGAGCGATCTATTCAAATTGTTGAGTTTGCTCTACTCCATGTGCCTAGGCTGGAGAATAATAAGTTAAACACATACACATAAAATCCACTTAATGGATAAAATGAATCCATAACCAAAATGTCATGGTCACCCCAACTTTCATGTACATCAAGCATACATAGAGATATTTTAACAGACATGGGGGAGGCATATACACATGTAAGAACCATAGATGTTTTTAAACATTGAACAGCTTTCCCGAGACTTACACTCTAAGCCCTTTACCTTACAAAAAATAAGATGTTAATCTTCATTCTGTTTTTAAAGAAAAAATATATCGTTACTGGAAAAAATTCCTTAAATATAGCCATTTTCTTTTTTAAAAAAATTGCTCTGGTTGAAGACCCTATTTACAAAGGAAAGTCATGCAAATATTCAAAAGTTTTAGAAGTTAGATAAACTCTGCCCAGTGCATCTTGCTTGAGGTTGTGAGGAAAAATGAGTGTCGTAGAAGAGCACAACTTACGAATATGTGGAACTCTTCAGTGATAGTCAAAATCAACCCAATGCATTAAAAACAAAAAGTTAATAAAATGTTATGAACAAACAGAACTATGTATACCTGTATTCATACATCATTTTGTTTTTTTAAAAAAACCAAATTGGCACATTAGGTAGAAAGGACACTCTTATCAATAAAACTAGGCTAACTTGAAATTTGTAAGTGATAACCGTAAAACTTGGTTTAACACATAAACTTGACTTTGAAAAAGAAACCTTTGCATTATAAGCTTTTTTTATTTATAAAGTAACTTTGTTATAAAAATTATCAGTGAAAGAACTTCTGTTTTAAAAATTACTTTTCTGTTAGTCAGAATTATCAAATGACTGAGGCACTAATACTGAACAGGGTGCTGTACTTCACATGGAAACAATGTCCTAACAGCCAGGGGTGTCAAAGACAGCGTCAACATTCAGTCTCATGTCAATTCCCGCTTGGAAAGTCTCTTCCCAGAAAACAGACTTATCGACTAAAACAAATCCAGGTGGGTCATATGTAGAGAAGTGAAGCTAATCTAAAAAAATGTTTTGCATAACCACAATAGCCTAAGAGCAGCATTCAATGCCATGTGAGGCTTTGACTTCCTCTCCACCTCCCAAGCAACACACACACAAACACAACCCTGCTCTGGAATATCCACCAACCTTCTGGGACAAATTTCTGCAGCACACCTAAGCAGATCTGGGGGGAATCTGTTTCATCAATTCTGTCTGTCCCACAGGTGGAAGGACACTACTGGATTTAACTCTCTATCTCCAGGGATATGCACTTTTTTTAAAAAAAGCTTTTAAATGAAATAAAAGCCAAACAAAAATCCCTGTCCATTATTTTCTTAGGCAAACCTACGTTTCTTCCTCAACCAATATCTGTAGATCTGTTTGGACTTAAAATGCGAAATAGCATCTTTCAGAACTTTTGTCTGCGGCAGCTTTATTTTAATTCATTCCCAATATTTTCACAACTATGCTGTGGGGTGACAGAGAAACCAGGCATAAGAGATCTATTCCATTCTAAAATCCCTGTGTAGTTTTAATTTCAATGAGGGGACAGAAATATTGCTGGTGTGCAGCATTCTGGATGAACGGTTCTGTGTGGCCCTTGGAAGCCGTAGATTAATCTGCTTTCAAAGGGGTAGAGGTGGGGAGGGGGGGACAGCACGAACGAGTGCACATCAGCAGAGATAAAACCAACACAATGGGGTGGGTGGGTTAGAGAGTAATTTCGCAAACCTTCTACTTAGTCTTATACTTCTTCCCATAATTTAGTGTAATCCCGTGCATGCTTACTCAGAAGCAAGTCCCGTTGTGTTCAGTGGGAATTACCCCGAGGAAAGTGCGCTTAGTCCAGGACAGCAAAATCCTATATGCATACTTACCTGAGAATAAGCCCCACTGAAAACAACGGGAATTTACTTTGGAGTATGCAGGTCCTACTGTGACAAGTCTCACTGATTTCCCCCCCTGTGTTATATGGCTTGTCACAGATTACACTGAAATACAATTCCGTTTAATTTTTTGATCCTAGCTCTTGGGCTTGGATCCAAAGACCATACATTACAAGCTGAAGGCACTTCTGCTAACGTCATGAGGGTGTCCAATTTCCCAACTGCAGTCCCCCCCCCCAAACTGACTCCAGATGTTTGGGGATCCTCCAGAGCAGCAGGGTGCCTGTGTAGAGCTGTAGACAAGGAAGGGGGGAGGACCGGTGATCCTCGCGCACACATGCAAGGGATGTCTTCTGCTCAAGGGACGCAAGCCATTGTGGAGTAAAGTTTTGGTGGGTTTCTCGTCAGCTAGGTATGAAAAGCTGAGTCTTATGTACAAGGCAAATGTATTCACTTCCGAAACTTAGTGCACTACATTCCCTTCAGGTAGAATAATGTACAACTCAAGTTCAATATTTCTCTGCTGTGGCAAAGATGCAAGGGAGCCTATTAAACAGGGCCTTTTAGTGCTTTCAAACAAACAAATACACATTATTATTATTTTTGTAACTTTTACATAATAGAACAGTGCAATGTGCAGCATGCCACCAGAGCAGCAACGTGAACAGTTTGTAGGTATGTTGGCTTGTTGTCGGACCTTGAACTTGTTCAGTTTCTAGCTCTGGCGCAGCAAAAGGTTTCTGAAAAGCCCTCCCACTTTCCACCTCTTCGGCCTGTTCTTGAGTGCCTCTTAGTAGGGAAAATCAACATCCATGTCGGTGTGGTTTGGGGAACACTTCACAGTGCAAAGCAGATTCTTGCCTCCAGTAACTTCCTTTATTTTTTACTTTGGAAGAAGCCCTTGAGTGGTTCCCTGCCTCTCTTCAGAAATGTCCACGCCCACAATGGCTGCGTCATTCAAAAGTGTCCCCTTGGGTTTGCTTGTCACCTTTAACTTTTTAGCATCAAGCTTTTCTTTCTTAAGGTGCTTTGCTACAGTAGCTTTCTTTGTTTGATGCCTGGAAATGGACAAGCCAGAGGATTTTGCAGCACAATAAATCTTTCTCATCCTCCCCTCCCTTGCCTGAGTTGTAGTCCTGGGTGGCTGCTTCCGGATCCCTCTCCGAATGAGGCAACGCCTTACAATGGCTAGTCCTGCAGCTTTTTTGGAAAACCCTGGCTCTCGACTACTGTCCTTTCTCCTCTGCCTATTGAAGGGAGTTAACCTAAAGTCACCGTCCCGCTGGGATCGGTGGGAGTTCAGTGGTGAAAGAACTAGGTGCTTATAGGATTTCTCTGAACTGCTACATACCAGACACTCAGACTTCTCCGGGGAAACAGAAGAGTCATCCGTCTTATGACTTGAATTCTTATCTTTCTCCTTAACTGGATCCAACGCGAGAGGTGTTGACGAACCATTGAAATCTGGCGAATTGAAGGACTTTGGTGCTATGCATTCATACTGCGCATCGGCTCGCTTCTTCCCGTTTGCATCAAGGCTGAGACTCCTGAATAGCTGCCGGACATGTGAAGCCTTCTTTGCCTTTCCCCCAGCGACACTTCTGGGAGGAGTTTTTAAAACTCGGTTCGTCAGTGGGTCATAATACTTAATAGAAGTCTGTTTGTATTTGTACCTTATGGAGTCCTTACTATCTGTGGAGTTGTAGCATCTTCTCCTTTTGGGAATGTCTTCAGCGCTGCTCCAAGACAATTTCATCTCTGGACAGGAAAGAACATAGACTGTGGTTTGGGGCTGTAAAGGGTTCAGAATTTTGGTGTAAGACTCAGGAAGCTTGAGGGCACAGAGTCTAGTTTTCATGGTGGGTGTCTTCTCATTTTCTGACCATACAAAGTAACCTTTCGGATCTGGCTGCTCATGGTCCCTTCTAATGGTTTTGTGTTTCACTATGGGATAGTTCAGCAAGCTAGTTTGTGTGCCACGGCTAACCTTGACTACTTGGCATCTTGAGGCAAGGCGCCAAGTCCTTTTTTGAGGCTTCTTTACTGTTTCTGGAATGTGTTGTGTTTCTGAGGCAGCAGGAGAGTTGTTGAAGTCAGAGTCAAATTCCGGAAGGCCTTTATCCGACACAGCCTCCAATTCCTCCGCTGCAATTGCACTGATTTTCCTTTCTTCTTCTTCTTCTTCCTTCTTCTTCCTTGTTGTTGCACCATTAGCCAAGGACTTGGAATTAAAGTGGCAGCGGAAGCGACCTTCCCTGAAATCCCGCACAAGGGCTTCAATTTTCATATCATCTTCGTACATGATCTGGGACCACGTCTTTCCTACAAAGGAAGGAGGCACATGGGGCAAAGCTGGGAGAACTGGTTCTTGATGATGAATGGACACATCTGGTTCTGGTTCTGCTTCTGTTGTCTGCTGCACAGAGTTATTTTGAAGAATGGAACTGAGCTGGGAGCCATACTTCTCATCTTGTAAATTTACTTGAACCTCTTTGAGCAATTCTAGATTTTTAACAGCTGCCTTAGGCAGGTGTCCTCCTGACTGAGCATTTGCATCACAATCAAAGCTTACATCGGATCCATGAACACTGTTGTGGTCCAGAAGCGACAGGATATTTACGCATGGGTCCGTCTCTTCGTCTCTGAGAGGCGACTCTTTGGGAGAAGTTTCACAGCAGTGTCTCAGAATGACTTTGTCAATGATTTCATCTACAGAAGTTTCCGCGCTTCCGCTCAGCTGGTTTTCTTTCCCCCCTGAAAACTGGGGAACTGTTTGAAAACTCAGCGAGTTACCGGTACCCACAGGGTTGCTGGTGTCCGAGAGACAGAAGTCGGCGATCTGAGTTTCATCCTGAGCCTGTAAGCCACCTTGTTTTAAAAAAACCTGACCTGAGATTAAAGAGTTGCCTTGATTACACACAGGACTCTCTTGTGAATGGGAAACAGTTCTTGGGGGAGACTGCAAAACGGGGCTCAAATTTGGAATCGGTAATCCATCTTGTGAATGTGAAACAGTTCTTGGGGGAAACTGCAAAACGGGGCTCAAATTTGGAATCGATAATCCATCTTGTGAATGTGAAACAGTTCTTGGGGGAGACTGCAAAACGGGGCTCAAATTTGGAATCGGTAATCCATCTTGTGAATGTGAAACAGTTCTTTGGGGAGACTGCAAAACGGGGCTCAAATTTGGAATCAGTAATCCATCTTGATTGCATATGCTCTGCTTGGTTTGCTCGCACCTGTTCTGTGAAGCCAAATCTGGTATTGCTGAATGCCTCACATTTTTTGCAAGCGTTGGAGGGGGTGGTGAGTGGCTAATGGATGATGGACAGGGTAAGTGGTTCACTGCTGCAAGTGGGGTTTTATGGCTACTACTTTCAGTCGGAATTCCATCTGCTGCAACATGATTTCTTGTACTGCTAGAGATGTCTATAGTTTGCTGCGAAGTTCCTTGGCTGTGCACTTTCCCCCTTTCTTCTAGCGTATGGAGAAGTGTGACTGGCCCAGGAGCCTCCTTCAGTTCCTCGTGTGACCTCTGGGAAGTGAAGCAGCCTGACTCTGCAGTCAATGCACTGTTGGTGCTCGGTTCTTCTCCCTTGCTAATGGCACTTTCCTTCTCCAGCACTTCCACCGGCAAAAGAGCCTCATTCCTGGGAAGAGGTTGGGAGCTGCCGATAGGTATGTCGTCGTGAGTCGGTCTGGGGAAGGGAGAAGAAAACTCACGTAAACGTTGTAAATACACTTAACACAAAACTGGGGTTTGCAGCTATGGGATTAAGAGCCCCAAGAGTTAATAAAACAGGAACTACTCTTATAGTAGTCACCTCCAGGCTTGACTACTGTAATTCGCTCTACACGGGGCTGCCCTTGAAACTCCAGCGGGCGCAGAATGCAGCAGCGAGGCTCCTCACAGGGTCTCTGCCATGGGAGCATATTCACCCAGTGCTTTTCAAGCTGCACTGGCTCCCGGTGGAGTACAGGGTCAGATTTAAGGTGCTGGCTTTGACCTTTAAAGCCCTTCACGGCCTAGGACCCTCGTACCTACGGGACCGCCTCTCCCGGTATGCCCCACGGAGAGCCTCAAGGTCCATAAATAGCAACACCCTAGAGGTCCTGGGCCCTAAGGAAGTTAGATTAGCTTCAACCAGAGCCAGGGCGTTTTCAACTCTGGCTCCGGCCTGCTGGAACGCTCTGTCTCATGAGACCAGGGCCCTGCAGGATCTGATTTCTTTCCGCAGGGCCTGTAAGACAGAGTTGTTCCGCCTGGCCTTTGGCTTGGAGCCAATTTGATTCCCTCCCGCTCTTTCTTTTTTCTTTTCCTTTCTCCTCCTGCGATGAGGCTACATTTTAATATTTTAATGTTTCAATATTTTAATATTGTATTTTAATTTTGTTTTTAAGTTGTATTCATTCAACTTGATTTTATTATTGCTTGTTAGCCGCCCTGAGCCCGGCCTTGGCTGGGGAGGGCGGGGGTATAAATAAAAATTATTATTAAAATTATTATTATTATCAGTACAATCAGAACTTCAGCTGCAAGTCAAATTGGGCCACCAACAAAAACACTCCTTAATAACTGCCCCATAACTTACAGGTTTGAACTCTGAATTTCATGGACGGTAATGTTTTATTTAAAGCCCATTAATGTTACTGTACTGTTAATGGTCAGGGGTACCTCTACCTTTTAATGTAACTGTATAATGGTGAGGGAAGGGAGGGAAGCGCTGAGATTCTGCTGCATAGGAAAAACTGCAGCACTGTTCCCAGAACTACTACTAGCGCCAAGACTCTCTGCCACAATGATTAACACTCTTCTGAGCTACTGGAGCGCTGGGGAAGGATTTGTTAGGACAATAAAAATAAAAGAAAGAATATGAGCCTTTGTTATAGCAGACACTCTTTGAGGCAGGAAAGCTTAATGTAATAATGCAGCTAATGGCTGCCTATGAGGACCAGAGCACAGAAGCAATGCATACACATCTTTACATTGTAGAATTAGAAATGCTACTTTGATAGGTTTCAATTTAAAGAAAGACAGATTTTTTAAAGTGTATCAACAAGAATATAAATAAGCTATACCCAGTATCAGTTTATACACAGACATGAACTGCATTAGACACCTAAGACAGCACGAATTTCTATTCTGAATAATCTTCCTGTATTGTACAGCCACTGGTTAGGATCCTAATTCTCTTATTCCATGAACAAAAGGAGCTTCTGTTTACAGAATGAAAAATTAGGATCCAAGCCACTGTCTCTGTAAAACCCGCATAAACTTAATCCACAGCTGTGTAGATGAATTCTTCTCACCCCTTGTCCTTGCCCTTTCTGTAAACTAACCCGGAGTGTTCTTGTCATTGCAGCCAATATTCGCAATGATATGGGCTAATTTTTTAATGAGATTCTCAACTGATTACTAACCGTGCCCCCATTCAGTGACTAGGTACACAGGTCCATGATTGCATTCAAATGTCAAAAGATCTGAGAGGGGAAATCCTACTTAAACAAAGGGTTGATATTTTCTTTCATACCAAACAGTTTACCTGAATAAAGGCCAGATGTTTCTGACCACGGACGCAGGCAGTTAACCATCAGTGTTGCTTTGCACTAATGGTTGAGCAAAGGTTCTTCTTTGCACTAATTATGCTCTCGTGTGCATTTTATATGTCTGAGTTTATATTCAGATTGCCCTGAAAGAAGCTTTTACAGCAGCTTCCTTGTCCCCATACTGTTCTAATACAGTGGTGCCCCGCAAGACGAATGCCTCGCAAGACGGAAAACCCGCTAGACGAAAGGGTTTTCCATTTTTGAGTTGCTTCGCAAGACGATTTTCCCTATGGGCTTGCTTCGCAAGACGAAACGTCTTGCTAGTCTTGCGATTTTTTTCTCGCTCCCCCCCCCTTTTTCTAAGCCGCTAAGCCACTAATAGCCTTTTAGCAGCTAAGCCGCTAAGCCTTTAATAGCCGCTAAGCCGCTAAGCCGCTAATAGTGCTAATCCGCTAATAGGGTTGCTTCGCAAGACGAAAAAACCGCTAGACGAAGAGAATCGCGGAACGGATTATTTTCGTCTTGCGAGGCACCACTGTACTAGCTAGAATCAAAATAGCCTTGCAAGATGCTGAAATTCCATTAAAATCAACACAGCAAAGGGGAGATGTGTTAACAATTCAAACGCCTCTCAAGCAGAAAAATGAACAAAGGCAAAACAAAACACATTCCTACGAGTGTGTGGGAGCACTCATAGCAGCCACTAACCATCTAAGTGGAATGAAAGGTTTAGATGCATGGCAGCTGCTCAGAATTGCGTTCTGGCAGAAAAGCTGGTTTTGTCCTGGACTTTTTGACGCTTTGTATCTTTTAATTTCAAGTCTTTGATAAACCATATCAGTGAATGAAATACTAGCTTCTCAACAGACACCAAAGAACACTCCTTATGTTCTGGTAGCATCCTGCAGTCTAAGAACTGATGCGCTGTCTTTTCAGAAAGGAAACAGCAGCAGCATGAAACAGCAGTCTTCAGAAATATCCTCCCTGCCATCAACACGGCACATAACATAAAAGTATGATGGATGAAACACCAAGGAATAGAACCTTCTACGCTAACTTTTATAAATAATATATCAGGTACCAGAGCAAAATACTATTTTAGTCTGCACTCATTAGAACGACCTATTCCCTGGCTCGTGGCTGCCACATGTGAGTGATGTGATTATAGCTAACCCAGAATAGTCAGGTGTTTATTTCACTCCAGGAGTTTATTATTAAGAAGTTCCAATGGTGACCTCACAGCTGATGCCCAGATGGGATTTTGCTCTTGACATACTTTGAAAATCAAACGGAAAGAAGGAAAACGAAAGCACCAGATCCCAGGGCTGGGTCCATTACTGTAGCTCTGCTGGGGCAAGAGACTTCACTGTGCACAACGGAAATTCCTCTTCCTTTCCTGCACCCTACATGCTGCCCCCCCTTCCTGCCCCCTTCCTGCTGCATCCTGCCCCATCAGAACCAGCTCTGATGGGGTTGGAAGACCCTCACTGGATATAGCCCGCTGTTTTCAATACAGCATCCCTCAAAAAGATGGGATAGCTTTGTTTGGGCTCATAGCTGTCAACTTACAGATTTGAAAATAAGGGACCAGCAGCTTCTAAAATAAGGGTTCAGCAGCCAAAATAAGGGATTTTGCTGTTGTAAAGTTACATACATTGGTAGGATTGACAGATGCTGTCAATCCGGCATGAGGCGGTTGCAGCGCCGCCGTGGCCGCTGAAGCACCGCCCTTCTGCATCCCTCCCCATCCCCTCCTCTTCCTCCTCCCTCAGGCCAGCTCCTCAGCTGCCACCACCACTCCCGCCTCCACGCTCGCGGGCGAGAGTCTCTCTCCCTCCCCCCCCCCTCAGGCGGGAAAGGGCTGATGGAACTCCTCGCGCCAGGAAGACAGCGCCAGCGTGCATTCTCTCTCGTGGCGGACCCTGAGCCGCTGCTTCCCTCCCGAGACGGGCGAGCATGAAACGCGGGAAATTTAAGGGACATCATCCATAAGGGACAGCAGCGGGACACGGCGCTGGGATAAGGGAGTTTCCCGCCAAATAAGGGACGGTTGACAGCTATGTTTGGGCTCCGCTTCAGGGCCTGCGCAACCGGTTCCCTACTGTGCTAAACGCTGCCCACGAGGCACATTTTGTGCCAGCTGCTTGATGGGGAATCCTGATAGGACTCAGCAGAGAACACTGGGTCAGGCCCCAGGCAGAGAAGATACTCCTTGAGGGGGAAGACAAATACAAATAAGACAGAGAGACCTATGCATTTCCTTCACTTTTCTGGATGTCTGTTGCAGCTCCGTTTATACTGGTGAAATTACACGAACAAACGGGGATGAACTGCAGTGAGCCTCAGGTTTGTGCAGTTCCCCCACCCAGTTAAGTAAATGCCTCCGTAATTATGGTTCCAAGCTGATTTGTTTCAAACAAATCACAGGTAACATGAAAAAAAATGTGGTTAAGCAAAAGCAGATGCCAGTGCTTCCAGACTCCTCCTCCTTAACCACACAGAAGGAGGAGATGGGAGACCAAGGCTCACCGCAGCTTGTTCCAGCTTGTATTACACTCAACTATGGTTTAGTGTGATGCCAAACTGCAGCCATTGTGCACTTCCCTCACACACCCATAATTAATTTTTGCATTCTCATCTATTCATCAAAAATGGCAGAGCCTAGTTCCACAGCAGACAGAATAAATTTTCACAATTCAGTTTTCCAAAACAGAATCAGGATTAATATTCGGTCCCTTGTCACTTCTCACAGCAAAATTCCTACATTATACCTTTGCTGGCCTTGATCTGGACATTCAGCTCTCTCTGCCAAGATATTCCTTCCAGGTATCATTTGAAATAACACCATCCAGATAAATTGAAAGACCCCAGAAAATAAATGCGGGGATCTGGAGCCAAATTTGCACACAACTTCTCTTTGAGTAGAATTCAATCTCATGCTATTACAACCATTCTGTCTGTGCAAACATTGCACCCTGCCAGACAGAATGTCCCCCCCCCCCCCGTGCTGTTCTGAAGGGTTCTTCTGAGTCCGACTCCCCCTAAGTCAAATTGGGGGGGGTAGGGTGGAGGGAGGAGGGAAAGCCCTTTTGCACAAATGCTTCTGTGGATGTGGTCTGTTGCATGACTTGTATCATGCGACGATTGCATAAGCATAGAATCATGCTGATTTATTCTACCAATTAAATTTAAATACATGTTTTGTATGAAGCGAGGGTCTCCAGGTAAAGTTCCCTCTCCAGAGGGCCAAACCTGCTGCAAATTCCATAATTTAAGAAGTTTAACACACTACCTTGCATATATATTAGAAAAGTTAGACAAGCCAAAAAAAAACACCACTGGGTATTTTACCTGTTATCATGGTATCTATAGGGATGGTGCCGCAAAACATCTTGCAGGAAACGCTCCATCAGGCTAGTTGTGCCCGTACGATTCCTGCAGTAAGTGGCAAAGTGCCTGTGCTGGGTACTGTACACGTGCTGAACGAGGGAAGAAGACGATGCTTTATATTAATCAGCTATCAAAACTTAACAACTGTTTTCATTACAATACACAAGATCAAGGGTAACTCCCAAAAAGATGGACAGAAAAAGAATGCCAGTTGAACACGTGTGATAAAGATGCCACAGAGATACACACCTCTCCTTTCCTCCTCCCAACCAAATACTAGAACATGGGTTGGCAAACTAAGGCCCACAGGCCAGATCAGACCCAATTGCCTTCTGGATCCGGCCCATGGACCGTCCGGGAATCGCCGTGTGGATCTCCCTCTCTCTCACACGGCGGTGGTGCCTCCTCCTGGCTTCTCCCTGCCCTGCCTAGAGGAGGAAGGGGGTTGGGCTTTGTTGGTGTCACAGCAGCAGCAGCGCTCGAGCGGCCGCCATTTTAAGCAGCCCCTCTCCAGAGCCCTTTTGTAGGCCGCTCATCGTCTTTCCACCGGCTCCACCAGCCTCTGCCGCTCGCAAGACACAGGTAAGCAGCCACTGGGGCTTGTGATGCTCTTGTATCATATATATTTTTCAAAATATAGTCCGGCCCCCCCACAAGGTCTGAGAGACAGTGGACCGGCCCCCTGCTGAAAAGGTTTGCTGACCCCTGCACTAGAAGCAAAGACACCTGGGTGGGAGAGGCAGTTGCAACAGAGGAGTAAGAAATGGTAATAGAAAGACAGTTGAATGGGTACTGGAGAAGCAGCAGGAGGAGGTTCTGGATCTCTGCCCTTTAGGCCAATGGAATTTCCCTCCTAAGGTTTAAGGAAGTTAATACATTGTATTTAACCTCTCTACCCCCAGCTTCCAAGGCACAGGTTTTCCTTGCCTAAATGTTCTACTAGCCACATGAGCATCTTCTTCCATGGTATCCTGTACAGTGGAATGCAACTTCTCTCAACAGCTCAAGCCCAGCCCAAGAATTGTACAGTGGTACCTCGGGTTACATACGCTTTAGGTTACAGACTCCGCTAACCCGGAGGTTACAGACTCCGCTAACCTCAGGTTAAGAACTTTGCTTCAGGATAAGAACAGAAATCGCGCGGCGGCGACACGGCAGCAGCGGGAGACCCCATTAGCTAAAGTGATGCTTCAGGTTAAGAACAGTCCTCCGGAACGAATTAAGTACGTAACCAGAGGTACCATTGTAGGTGATAGCGCTAAGGAAGATGAAGAAAAGTGGGACTTGCCGGACAGAGGGGCTGTTCTCTACACCTAATGCACATATTGAACTCCACTCATTTTCACAAACACACTTTTCTTAAGTTGCTGTGAATGTGGGAGTGAGCCACCGTTCACAGATCTATTACCTTAAAAAATATTTTAGTGCAAACCCCTTCAAGCTGAAGATTAAAAATGAAACTGGCTGTGTCAAACAATGTTCCCATCCTTTATTTTTAAACTTTTAGATCCAATCGAGTAAAACTAACAGCTGATCAAGCCCTTTGACAGATAATGGAAAACTAAGGTTCCCATAATGGCAATTGGAGTTAAGTCCTTACCTGTTCAAGATTACTGTAGTGTACATGGCAACAGTTGCAATAGCCTTGCCTGTTCTGTACGACAGGTACTCCAGGCCCAGCCAGCTCTGGTGCTTGCGAGCTTAAAATGAGAAATAGAAATTTTCATATAACCAGCTGTTTTCAGAGGGAGAGAGAAGTTATCGACTCCTACCCTGATGAGGGCTGCTATTAAAACAACGTTCATGTTACTTTTTCCACACTCAGTCAAAATGAACCACACATAAGTAAGTTACAGATAGGTAACCGTGTTGGTCTGCCATAGTCAAAACAAAAAAAATTCCTTCCAGTAGCACCTTAAAGACCAACTAAGTTAGTTCTTGGTATGAGCTGTGCATGCACACGAAAGCTCATACCAAGAACTAACTTAGTTGGTCTTTAAGGTGCTACTGGAAGGATTTTTTTTTTTGTTTTCACACATAAGTAAAATTCAGTATGGCCTCACCTCTACGTATATAAAATTTTCTGACCCAAGAAATATTCATCCCTATATTAGATGAGTGAAAAAGTAATGGTTCAGAATCATTACACTTTTGAAATGGTTACAAGATGTTATTGGATTGAACAAGCATTCCTAAACCTCATTTCGACCATGGGGGGAGGTAGAAAGCACTTAGCATTTTTTACTAACGACTCTGTAGAACGTACACATTTTTCAGATTGTTATGAACCGGTAACATATCGAGATGCATTACAGCTACACTACATTATTCATATACAGCACTTGTCAAGGATTTCAGAGACCCAAAGAGATGGGCTCTTAAAATTAATTCACAAAAATCATTTATCAATGCTGATCAACATCACAGGCCATTAAGACGCTTCCAGCTAAGAAGATTGTTAATGAAAGTAGCTTAAGCTAATCCTGCATTATTTCCTGGGATAGAAGTGTCAAGAAAGTAGATTTGAGTCAGAACTGTAACAAATGCAGAACAGCGAAATTTCAGTCAGTTAGCGGGGAAGCTTCCAAGCAGTGCAAGCAAGTCAACCGGATTGGGAGAAAGGCTTCAAGAACAATTCACTGTTGACTGCGTACAATCATCCATTTTTTTGCGGACTGCAAAAGCAGTCATGGAATATGCAAAAGCAGTCATGGAATATGCATGCAAACAAAAATAATTCTATCAAATACCGTATTTTTCACTCTATAAGACACACTTTTTCCCCTCCAAAAATTAAGGGGAATGTGTGTGCGTCTTATGGAATGAATGCAGGCTCCTTGGCTTCAACGATAGCAACGTGAAGCCTCCCAAGCGCAGTAGGAGCACTCCCGCCGCGCTCCAAAGGCTTTGGGTTGCCTTCAGTGAAGCCTGGAGAGCGAGAGGGGTCAGTGCGCACCAACCCCTCTCGCTCTCCAGGCTTCAAAGATAGCCGCCTGAAGCCTCTGGAGCGTGGCAGGAGTTCTGGTTGCGCTCCGGAGGCTTCGGGTTCCTTTCGCTGAAGGGTAGTCGCCCCTTCAGCTAAGCGGGAGGAGAAATGGAAGGGGCTCCGTTTCTCCTGCCGCTTCGCTGAAGGGGCGCTGCGCAGAGAGGGGGGGGGGGTTTTCTTGTTCTCCCCCTCTAAAACAAGGTGCGTCCTATGGTTGGGTGCGTCCTATAGAGCGAAAAATACGGTAATTTTTTTCCATTCTGCTCCCTATTCCCACTGCTATATTTTAAACAGCGCCGTCTCCTTCAGCCTCCCCATATTCCAAATGCATTACTATAAAATACAGGCAGACCCTGCAACAAAATGTTGCAGTGTGGACTGCTCCTGTACAGTATTCCAGCAAGGCAGCCAGACATACCTTCTTCCATGACACTCCATCCCATTCCCCTCTCCCACCCAGTTTTCTGCTTTTATTTCTCTCCCCGCCCCCATAACAGTCAGTCACCATTCCATGGCCTCTGAGCGTCCAAGTCAAACGGGGCTGTTTCAAGGATTAATTACAGTGGTACCTCTGGATACAAACGGGATCCGTTCCGGAGCCCCGTTCACATCCTGAAGCGTAAGATGAGTCTTTGCGTGTTGCGTTTCACCGCTTCCGCGCATGCACGTGATATCATTTTGAGCGTCTGCACATGCGGCAAACCCCGGAAGTAACACACTCCATTACTTCTGGGTCGCCGTGGAGCGCAACCCAAAAATATTCATCCCGAAGCTACTTCAACCCGAGGTATGACTGTTCAGTCATACCTCAGGTTAAATATGCTTCAGGTTGAGCGTTTTCAGGTTACGCTCTGCGGCGACCCGGAAGTAACGGAACGCATTACTTTTGGATTTTGCTGCTCGCGCACACGCTCAAAATGACGTCATGCGCATGTGCAGCGAATCGCGACCCATGCACACGCAGACCCAGGTTGTGTTCGCTTCAGGATGCGAAAGGGGCTCCGGAACGGATCCCGTTCGCATCCAGAGGTACCACTGTCTTTTTTCTTATCAGATCCTGGATAAGAAATCTGAGCATTAACTCAATAGAACAGAGTGTAAGAAGAGTGCTGGATCAGGCCAGTGACCCACCTAGTCCAGCATCCTCAAAGTGGTCAACCATATGTTGGTGGGTGACACTGACCACAAATGGGAACTTCTAGTTAATGTATACAGCAGGCATAGGCAAACTCAGCCCCCCAGATGTTTTGGGACTACAACTCCCACCATCTCTAGCTAACGGGACTAGTGGTCAGGGATGATGGGAGTTGTAGTCCCAAAACATCTGGAGGGCCGAGTTTGTCTATGCCTGGTATAAAGTATTAAGAATACAGCTTCAATGTAATTCCACGTTAATCTTACTCACCTGCTACCTCTCTCCGGTTGCAAGGAGCCTTCATTACCTCTTCTTTCTATATCTGTAAGAAGGAGGGTGGGGAAAAGATAATCTATAGAAAGGGAAATCAGCCAACAAATATCCCTCCTCTCCAAGTTTCATTAACTGTCAATGCAGTAAAGATACATTTCAAGCAGATGCTAATGATTTGATTATGTGGGTTTCCCCCATTAAATAAGAGTCTTACCTTGTGCTGAAGCAGCAGAGGCTTCATCGGCTTGTTTATTTCGATCAAACATCTGTAAAATAAAATCGATGCAGAGAAAAGCTGAGCACGCACAAAGGCACTTCCAAGATGTTTGCTCAGTAAAACATTGCCATATCAAGAACACTGCTGCAGATTAACTTTAAAATTGCCTCCAACGTTACAGTATTTTAAAAAGTTAAAATGAATTGCATTTTTAAGTTAGGAAATGAGCTTACTTTCTTCCTCACTCTATTTTTTGTTAAGACTCTTAAGACCTTTGCTGCCATGAGATATTACTGCTTTCATAAGGATTAGATCTTGGAAGGCGAGGAGAGCAAACAGTAAACTGATAGGCCATGCACACATCCAAATAAGGTATTTATAGGCTTAACTAAATTACAAACTGAGACATGAGTTGAGATTATAGCCTGTCAAAGATGGTTATGGGATCACTATAGGACTGAATCTATCATTGGTTCTTATTTTAAAATGGCAGCAAACCCTATTAAAAGGCACTAAGATTGTCTCTAGTGGGAATGGCCAAAAATCCCTTCTTGATCGCCTTTGCAGGCACTACCCCCAAATCAGTACTGGGCCTAGACTATCCTAGAGTCTAGATGGAAGGTAATACCAAATTTCAGTTATACAAGGATGACCTGAAGTATTCCAATCTTTCTGTGATAAACGTAACTAAAATCACCATGCACTTGTGAATATTTACCCTTCTTGCTGTCCTTCACATCCACTTGAAGAGCAGGATTCAAACACTATCTCTCACGTAAAAAGTTGTTTGCTGAGTAGGATTCGTCTTTCATTGTCATTGACAGCCTGTAAAAAAAACCAACAACATTTTTTTTAAAAAAAAATGAAGCTGAAGATAGTTCATAAAGTTATAAAGCTGTTGAGAAATCGCTACCTTCCCTGTTGTCGTCAGAGGGTAAAGAGCATCAAGATTAAGTTGCAACAAGGAGCATCAAAACAAAACATTTGGATACAATGCAACTTTTATAATGTAAAAACTTCAATAACTTTGCTAGAACAGTTTTAACAGGAAAAATCCCAGTGGAAGAGACTGTTGGGTGGGAGTTAGGAAGTGAGGAATGTAAACATAAACTCGTTTTGTCTGGTTGAATGAGAAATGCAAAATGGAATCTGACCCGGAAGGACTGTGGCTGGACTTACGGATCTGATCTACCAAAATTAAGAGAAAGCCAAGCAGTTTTATAGAGAAGAATGTTGGGGATGACTGGAATGTAAGGACTTGCTGTGGATTCGGGTGGAATGTCGGGGGCAGTGATGCTAAGTTAGAAAGTAATAAGGAAGATTCCCAACATGCTAACAACCGTTGAGAGGGAGGTTCCAAAGGGGATGCAATAACTTGCAACTAGATCTTTGCACCCGGAACGAAGGGGGAGGAAAAAGAGTTTTGATTAAAGATGGCTTTTAAAAGTAAAATTATATGAAAACAGTAAAGTAAAAGATTGAGACGAACTTTTTTAAGAGTGCAGCTCTTTTTTTGAGGTTTAATCAACGGAAGAAAGATTATAATAATGATTATCAGGTTGTGTAATAGAGAAGATCTCTTTGTAGGAAAGGGCGGGCATTAAAAACACCATGGAACGACCGGTGGGAATTCAACATCTAAGGATATATTAAATTGGAAATTAATCTGTATTTTTTTAAATTGTTAATCTGAGATTTGTTAAATTTGTTGATATGTTTTTTTTTAAGACTTAATAAAAATTTATTGGCAAAAAAATGAAGGAGCACATGTATTCTGTAAGGGAAATCACAACTTTAAAACTAAATGAATTTGAAAGCATCAACTTTTAACTTCTCAAAACATATCAAAGACTGGATTTATTGATATATATTCTGTATCCCAGAATTAATGTAACAGTTTATCATCTTGCCACTTGAACCACTGAAGTTTTTTTTAATGGGTCAAAGTCAAAGCAGTTTAAGTGCTAACAGTATCTCAGAAAAGTAAGATAAATACCATCATTTCTACTGTACAGCAAACAGAGGTTACAGAGCAATGAGCCCAACTGGAAAGGAAGGTTTTGATCTATAAAGCCTTAAATGGCTCACGACCGCAACACCTCAACAACCACCTCTCCTCATATGAACCAAATTGAACCCTGTGATCATCATCTGAGGGCCTTCTTTGTGTGCCTCCTCCATGAGAGGTCTGGAGGGAGGCAACATGAGAACGGGGCCTTCTCTGCAGTGGCTCCATGTTTGTGGAATGCTCTCCCCAAGGAGACTCGCCTGGCACCACCATCATTATATATCTTTAGGCGCCAGGCAAACACTTTCCTCTAGAACCAGGTATTTGACCTTTAAGTATCTGTGGCCTTTTAGAAGCGGGTGGAATGCTTTTAATGTATTTATTTTCCCTCTTGGTTTTCATGTATCACTGTGCGGGTGGGGGTTGTCTGGCTGGCTGTTTGGGTTGCCCTTGGCAATATAACGCAACTAACAAATTAATTAATTAATTGAATCCGGGTCCCTTTTGACAACCATCGGATTATCAGTCTTCTCTTTTAGTTGTCTAAAGCGTATTCAATGCTCAGCGTTGCTATGGACGTAGTCAGATTCCACAATTCTAAGGTCTTCAACCCTTGTGTATTTTTTTTTGCTTACGCTGTGAAGAACCATAAACATAGACTGCATGGTGTCTACCATCTGGACGCTGCCTATCAATCCTGTGCTTCAATCCTATGCACACTGCCTTGGAAAGTTAATCCCCACTGAATTCAGCAAGGCCCACTTCCAAGTAAATATTAATAGGCTTGGGCTGCAAATGAGACAAGTATCGTTAATTGCATGGTCTCATGTGGTCAATAAAAAACAAACCCAAAAAACCTGATGATGCTAGAGCACGAGGCACCCTTCCAGCTAAATTCCAGCCCATACTGAATGTGAGATAAATCACACCACAGGTATTATGGGGTACAAAATATTGGCAGACAGGAAACACAAACACTCACCAAAACATGGCAAATTTATTCATGTTTATATCAAATTGTAATTAATTGGATGAGGTTCAATTTACACTCCCACAAAAAAGGGGAAAAGTCATCAGTTAAGCTACAGAAAAAAGAATGACTCAATTAGACTATCATTTGCTTTCTTTATTAGTCTCACTGTCTGTATCATTCTTTGTACGAGCAATACAAAAATTCTGGAGCAACTTTCCAGACAGTTACTCCTTCAACAATAAACTGACCTGTGAACTTAATTCTAAAAGCTATAAACTGTTGCTCAAACGGTCAAACCAATCACTTCTGCTCTCAGCCAGCGTTAGAAACTCAGATATACAAGCTAAGCACCAAAATGCTCCTTAAACCAGGGTTACAGTCACCAAAACAATGCCTAGTTGCCATTTTTGGAGCAGATGCTTCAAAAGTAGTATTTTTCAATACAACGTTTTAGTTCTTGAAATTCATTCTCCTTGTGCAGATAAAATACAGTCAAACCTCTTCTTATGTCCACCTCGGCTCGCATCCATTTCGCCCCGCGTCTGCGGCAAACCCGGAAGTAACCGGCGGGTTTGCATGCGCAGGAGCGGCGATTGCCGTTGCGCATGTGCAGAAGAAGAAGAAGAGTTTGGATTTGATATCCTGCCTTTCACTCCCTTTAAGGAGTCTCACAGCGGCTAACATTCTCCTTTCCCTTCCTCCCCCACAACAAACACTCTGTGAGGTGAGTGGGGCTGAGAGACTTCAGAGAAGTGTGACTGGCCCAAGGTCACTCAGCAGCTGCATGTGGAGGAGCGGAGACGCGAACACAGTTCCCCAGATTACAAGACTACCGCTCTTAACCACTACACCACACTGGCTCCCAAGCCTACGGCACCCGGTATTCCCAGGCGGTCTCCCATCCAAGTACTAACCAGGCCTGACCCTGCTTAGCTTCCGAGATCAGACGAGATCAGGCGTGTTCAGGGTAGTATGGCCATATACCCAGAAGCGGGTGATAGCCACTTGCGCACAACGGCGCCTCTCCCAGCGACCCGTTTCGACTTCCAGACAGGCCTCCGGAACGGATTGTAGTCGTGAGTGTAGGTTCCACTGTATAATGGATAGAATTCTACAGGATGTGTTGCTAGTGCCTGCACACAGTCAAGATCCAAGGATTCCCAGGCATGCACCTCCAGGTGGTGGAGATGTCAGGTGCCACCCTGGCATCTTCATTTGGTTGCAAGTGGCTGAAAGCCAGGTGCAAAATGTGCCTGGTGAATTTCAAACACAGCTCTCAGCATGTATAAAATTGGAAAGCGGGGGCTGAACATTACAAGCAAAAGGGACCTACCTCCCCAAGCTATTACCTGAACTCCCACCTCCAGATTCTGAAACCGAGTTCACCGGAAAGAAATATGCCTAGAAGGGGAGAATAGTGGGGGCAAGTCACAGGAGCACAGACAGTTCAGCTCCTCTTACCCATATCCCCCTTTTGCTTTCAAAAACAATCCACACTCGTTCTGTATACATTATTGGGGCAGCCTTGAATTTAAGCAAACAGGCCTGCTACAGTCACTCATTGTTCCTTACCCACTGCCAGCAACATAATCTGGTTTCACGGCATGAAGATGATAGCTGCCAGAAAGCATATTGGTGATATTCCTATATCACTCAAATCAGCCAAGTGCTTCTGCAACACCAGTCCAACCATGAGGTTTGATAACAGCTGAAAACACATACATCTTAACAAAGTAGGTCAGAGTGTTGCTTTCACAAAATACATATTGGATGCCTACATCCATTGCAGCAGCTGGGCATTTTTTTTCCAGGGAACAAGAGGTTTCAGACAGGAGTAATAATAATAATAATAATAATAATAATAATAAATAATAATAATTTATTTATATCCCGCCCTCCCCAGCCGAAGCCAGGCTCAGAGTGGCTAACAACAGTAAAAATAACAGTTTACATAAAATCAATTAACTGGAATACATTCTAAAATTAATTCATTCTAAAATGAGTTCAGAGTCAAATTAAAGGCAACCACTGGGCTAGAGTTCTATGAGGATTACTGAAGGAGGGGGTCAGACTGTGCCTCAGCCAAAGGCCTGGTGGAACAGCTCTATCTTGCAGGCCCTGCGAAAGGTGTCAAGTCCCACAGGGCCCCATTCTCTTGTGACAAAGCGTTCCACCAGATCAGGGCCACGGCTGAAAAAGCCCTGGCTCTGGTTGAGGCCAGCCTAATATCCCTGTGGCCCGGGATCTCCAAGATGTTTTTATTTGAAGACCGTAAGGTCCTCCGTGGGACATACCAGGAGAGGAAGGTACGAGGGTCCTAGGCCGTATAAGGCTTTAAAGGTCAAAACCAGCACCTTAAACCTGACCCTGTACTCCACCGGGAGCCAGTGCAGCTGGTAAAGCACTGGATGAATGTGATCCTGCGGCAAGGACCCCGTAAGGAGCCTTGCCGCGGCATTCTGCACCCACTGGATTTTCTGGATCAGTCTCAAGGGCAGCTCCACGTAGATTGAGTTACAATAATCAAGTCAGGAGGTGACCGTCGCGTGGATCACAGTGGCTAGGTCAGGGCAAGAGAGGTAAGGAGCCAACTGCTTAGCTTGGCGGAGATGAAAAAATGCCGCCTTTGTTATAGCTGCAATCTGTGCCTCCATGGAAAGGGAGGCGTTGAAGATTACACCCAAACTCTTAACAGACGGTGCTGGCACTAATTGCGCCCCCGCAAGAGATGGGAGTTGCCCCCCCCCAATCGCATATCGTCCCGACCCAGCCAAAGGACCTCTGTCTTCGAAGGATTTAACTTCAACCGGCTCCCACATAACCATCCCGCCACAGCTTCCAGACATCTGATCTGTGTGTCTGGGGCCAAGTCAGGATGGCCGTCCATCAACAGATAGAGTTGGGTGTCATCAGCATACTGATGGCAGCCCAAACCAAAACTCCGCACAAGCTGGGCGAGGGGGCGCATAAAGATGTTGAAAAGCATTGGGGAGAGTATCGCACCCTGCGGCACTCCACACACCAAGGAGTGGCGCGACGACAGTTCCCCCCCCCAAGCGCCACCCTCTGTCCCCGACCAGAACAGACCCATACAGCTTGTTGACTGACTACGCCAAATGCATCTCAGTGGTATCCATATTGTAATCTTTCCTTCCAACTCTTCCCTCCAATATCAATCTCGGATGGTCAAGTGCCTTACAGCTAGAAAGTCAAAATGGGACACCTGACATAAAGGATGGTTCCTACAGATCCAGGGGGCTCCTCAGATGTGTGTTAGTATATTATTTAAAACCCACAAGAAGGACCTTACAAAATACAGTATTGAGGGCTTCAGTTTGTCTGCTTTTTTTAATAAGGAAAATGGTGGAGAAAAAGGATCAGCTTCTGTGTTCTCAAAGGTGGGATTAAGATGGGGAAGATTTAATGCCATGAGGTTAAAAAACTCCCCTCACCAGGTTTCATGAAAAAACACTTCCCATTGTGCTTTTACCAGAAACTGCCCCTCCCCATGTAGCAGTATAGCTTTCTGCTCGTATGGCTTGGGGCTCACAGCCAGCAGCTGAGCATGGAATCTGCAACATGGCATACAGTGGTCATGCCTATCCCAATTTAAAGGGGGGGGGGGGAATCAGGGGATCCTTTTTTACTTCAGGTGGTGCCCTTGACTGTTTCTCAATTTTCCTTATGTC